CACCCCTAACCCCCCCAAAAAAACAACTACAACAAAAAACAAAAACCACAATCCAAAAAAAATCTCCCAAAAAACAAAGCAAAACTAAACACAAAACAAAACATCTACGAATACGTCGTCGTCAAATTACTCGCACAAAAGTTGTTCTTCACGATGGCACATTATACCAGCTGTGTCTGTGGCCTGAGGTATTGTTGTAATTAAGGCCTTTCGGGGCAACAAACAAAAGGCTGTTTCCGATTTCCGTACGAGGAAGTCGGCATTTTTTGTAGAGTATTTCCATGTTTCTGTCGGTGGGGAATTAGACAGGGTATCCTGAGCTGTATCATGGTGCCCAAGCAGAACTAGCAATAATCAGAGTACAGCCAGCATTTACACAGGCGGCAATTTGCCTCTCAGACTTAGGATATATCTGTATCTGATTATATCATACCCAGTGCCCACCGGAGAATCAACAAACCGATCGCCAACCGATCGCCCGATTGCGGCCTGAAAACAAACGCGTGTGCTTTTGAGGCTGCTAGTCGGAAGATCGGTTCGTGCCACGATGGTTGCTTTACGCAAAGATACTGCGTCCTCAATCTGGCAATGGCAAGCCCCGCCTACCAGACCGAACCGAACCGACCGTGCCAATGGTCGTCCCCTATAATAGCCTCGCCTCTCAGACATGGCGAGGAGGTTAGTATATAGGTCAATGACTTATAACGCAACATGGGATGGCGTGCCAAAGTGACAAGGCCTAGAGACCTAGAAAGTGGGGCAATGAACATTTCCAGACGCTAATACCCACTGCACACTGCACACAACCAGACTCGTCGGATTGAGTCGGGGCGAGCTATATTTTTCTTCCAGAAGTTCAAGGAAAAGACAAAAGCTACCATTTTGGCACTTTGCGACCGAATCGACTCCACAAATTTGATTTGAAGGGCACGACAGTCGAATTTCGTCAAATTATTCCGATATGGCAGCTTTTGTCTCTCCTTAAAAGGAAAATCGTCAAATGAATCTGATGATTGGCAGTCCGCCAGTACGGTGTTTATTCATTGTTTTTTGGTCTTGGTCACGGTGCATTGCAATCCTTTTAACCCTTTCCCCTATCCGTACGTCGTGTTTTACTGCCGCATCCATACGAAGTGGGGAACTCTGTGCCACCACTTTCTAAAGAGGGAATTTACTCATTAATCTGATCCATACGCTTTGCATAGCAGTCTGTCAAAATGATTTTTTGAGAAATACTGAAAGTTTCAAAGAGATATTCTCACTGGAAGCATTCTTAAAAGTGAAGAATACAGCCCCTGGGGTACAGAATGACCCCGGGCGTACGGATAGGATCAAGGACGTAGTGGACACATGCGTCCGATCAGCAGCAGAACAAAGACAATGTTGGGGCAATACAAATTGAACCGTCAGACAGAAATTAGAAACACGAATTTGCATAGTATGTATGTTTGTTCCCTGCCTTTTAAAGTTTACATTAAAAAACAGAAAAGACAAATATGTAAGAGTAACCTGAGCTATGCTTTTAATGTAACCCCAGTACAACGTGTTTTCAAGTGTTGTCAATGATCAGAGTGTGCGTCTTTGATGAATTGAAGTAAGTTCAAGGCGTGATACCAATCGTCAAAATGAGGGATAATAATTGTAATCATCATCATCATCATCATCATCATCATCATCATCATCATCATCATCATCATTATACTAATAGATAGTCTAATTTGTATAGCGCAATTTCCAGCTCTACAAGCTCTGTGAGTTTTGCAATCTATATTATAACAACGGAACTCAGTCTGTAGTTCTTTCTTTTTTTTAGAGAAATTTGATGATGCAGAGTCAGAAGACACTAATATCTTGCTCATAAGATCTGAATAAGAATTAGGAACCCCTTTGTCCAAGAAAGTGACCAAACCTCCCCCCCCCCAAAAAAAAAGCCAAAAAAAGCAACCCAACAAAGCAACAACAACACTGTAACTGCACCATTTTTGTGAAACTGAAAAAGCTTACGTTATCATTCTGAATATGTTATGAAATTATGTAATGGTTACTGTTATTTTCTAACTTCGTGTCTGTTGAAATAAATAGTACGAACATGCTTCTAGGGTGATTTATTTCAATTCCTCTACCACCGCATTTTCCCCACAAATATAAGAGGAACCTTTGTTGAAATGGGAGTATATAAGCAGAGGAGATAGACGAAGGAATGGACAGTGATCATATCCTCTCAACGTTCAAGCCTGTACCCAATCATGCTTGTCATGTCAGGAAGCACGTTAACCCTGTCCGTACGTCGTGTTTTACAATCGTATCCATACGACGTGGGGAACTCTGTGCCACCACTTTCCAAAGAGGAAATTTACTCGTTAATCCGATCCGTATGCTTTGCATAGAAGTCAGTCAAAATGATTTTTTTAAGGGTGAAATATTGAAAGTTCCAAAGAGATTTTCGTACTAGAAGTATTCTAAAATGTGAAGTATACAACCCCGGGGGTACAAAATGTCCCCGAGGCGTACGGATAGGATTAAAACAGCATGAACGGGCAACCGCAAGGCGGTGTATCGTTATAGACCGCCGTAAGACAAACGGCACAGTACAGTTTTTGCACAGCATAGTTTTGCACAGTACAACTTAGCCCATCTTGTCAGAATGCTCGTTTTTCCCGATCGGGGTTGGCCCTGACAGGCGTAGAGATGAAGAAACCCCATGCAAAACGATCTAGGACAGAAATGGAAGTCCTAATTGACATCTTAGCTGCACTTTTTCCTCCAAGATCTAACATTGACCACACGCTGTATGGAACTTAACAGCAACTGCAGCAAACCTGCAATTATCACTACATGGCATTGAAGAGAAGGACAGGGGCCCAGCTGTTGCTGGATCGATAACAACAACAACAACAACAACAACAACAACAACAACAACAACAACAACAACAACAACAACAACAACAACAACAGCAACCACAAAATTGGTCAATCAAGCGATCCATTAATCAAACTGTTAGTCCGACAGTTCTTGGTCTTTTGGGTATAAAACTGGTGTTCTGGAAATAAATCCTATTCACGAAATAAATTATGTTTATGTAGTAATGTTCTGTTCATTAAATGAGCCCTGTTTATGAAGTAAGGTCTAATTTTATGACCATGAAATGAATTCTATTTCTTCACACAGTCTGAGTTCAAAGTGACGGAACAGAAACTGACCATGTCCAGATTCGTCAAAGCGATCAGGGAAGGAAGGGTAAGTGAACTACAAGACTCTCCTGTGGTTATGTTAATTTGTTAAGTCGGTATTCTCTGAGTCTGAGGGCTTTTTTCTCTCTTCCTTTGATTGTTGTTTTCTGTCGGGGGGTTTTTTGGGGGGAGGGGGTCGAATTTTCTAGGTCCTGTTCTTTTTTAGATTCGATTTTCCTTTTCTTCTTGCCTTTCTTTGTTGGTTGGTGATCTTTAGAAATAGTTCCTACCTCTCTTATCCTCCGAATTGTTAGTATTTTTGTCGCTGTCTTAGTATTTCTGTGTAATAAACGGCTGTAAGAGTGTCGATGGGTCTCTTTTCACTCACAAAAACATGCAAACAAAAAAACCCCCTTCTTTCGTGTTCTTTATTTTAGTTTCCAGTAACGATATTTATTCACATCATGTTTTTACCATAATGCACCACCCCCGGGGCGGTGCTACTGACTGAAGTATCTTTAGGCCATTCCCAAAGAGGGGATACTAACCATGTTCTTATGCACAGTTTATTTGTAATTGTAAATCGGTTGATTCATCAATGTCATTTTCATAACTGTGCCTGAACTGCAACAGGGAACTGCTGCTTTTTCTTTCCTACTCCTTACTATCGTCATTTCCCCCTCTACTTCTTTTGTATGTTTGTCGTACTCTTGTGACCCGCTATTTCCGTTGTGCCTTGATAGTCGAAGAAGGCTTTGTGCTGTTGAAGCTGGAGAGGTGAGCAGAGTAAGCCCGATTCCCTGTAAGGACGTCTCTGTCGACATCCACCATTGGCGCTCATATGACCTTATGCTGTTGCGAGCGCCGTGAAACATCTACTAAAACAAACAACCATAATGCACCTCTCACTAGTACTAGTACTCGTAGAATATGTGTATGTCTCTTGATAAAGGTTGTAACAACCGAAAAGGACGTGGGTGGTCGGCTGGTAGGCCTACTCTAACTCTAGTGATATGACGCCACTGGTAGGCCTTACTTCTTTTCTTTCTCTCTTTTGCTCTTTTGTTTGTGTCAGTTTGTTTGTCTTACTTCTTCCCAGCACGAAATCACCGTTTTGTTTTCGATGTGCTTGCTTTTACTCAAACTCAAACTCGACTTTGTCTGTGGGTTGTTGGCGGGTGCTATGGTGTGGTTTGCTTCTTCTTTCCTATCTAACATCTATCATCTTTATCTCCCCTTCTTCTGTTTTTTTTGTTTGTTACTCTCTCGTAACACCTCTAATCTTCGGCACTCATATGACCTTATTGTGTTGCAAGTGCCGTAAAATTCTTACTAAAACTAAAACGACTTTGTCTTCCTTACTTTTTTTTGCTGCATTTAAATTCTTGTCTATCTTAATATTTTGCTGCATTTAAATTCTTGTCTTTCTTACTATTTTGCTGCATTTAAATTCTTGTCTATCTTATTATTTTGCTGCATTTAAATTCTTGTCTATCTTACTATTTTGCTGCATTTAGATTTTTGTCTTTCTTACTATTTTGCTGCCTTTAAATTCAATGAAAATTATGGCGTTGGTTGACGTGTTTCTCTCTGCTCCAACTGTTCACTTAGACGGCCGGTCTGTGTGTATGTCCCTGCAGGTGAAGGAAGTGTTCGGGGCGGGCACAGCCTGTATCGTGTGTCCGGTGGACAAGATCCTGTACCAGGGCGAGGAGCTGGTCATCAGCACCATGAACGACCCGGAACACCTGACCCAGCGCTTCTACAAGGAGATCAACGACATCCACGTGAGTGGGTGGTTGGCGGGGGCTCTGGTGTGGTTTGCTTCTTCTTTCTTATCAAACATCTATTGTCTTTATCTCCCCTCCTTCTTTTTTGTGTTTGTTACTCTCTTGTAACACCTCTAATCTTTGGCACGTATATGACCTTATTGTGTTGCAAGTGCCGAAAAACACTTTCTAAAAAGGTATCCATGTGAATTCTGGTTCTCAGCTTTTTCTTTTTTATGTCCAATTGAATTATTGCTGTTGATATTTAATATCACGTCGAGAAAATCAAGAACATTTGAAAGACGGGCTTACCCCCTCTGTTTTGCTGTAATTGTTATGTGCATGTTCGATGTAAAAAAATTACTAAATGTGATACGAGGTCTGTCTCAGAATAAAGTTTCCCAGTCATGCTGTCCTCACATATAATTATAAATCACCTTGTATTTAGTATCAAAAGAAAGCTTATTCAAATACCTATTCAACGTAGGAACCATCAAGTTCTAGACATTTCTCCATTGTCAAAGACAGTGGTCAGTGATCGTTTGTCCAAGGTCCCGAGTGCTTTTCTCATAGCCTCTTGAATCTGGTCCTCGTCCTCAAATCGCCGACCTCACAGCATTTCACATTGGGGAAGAGGTGAAAGTTGCATGGGGCGAGATCGGGCGAATAGGGAGTGGGGGTGTTCCAATAATTTCCAAGTAGCCCTCAAGAAGCTCGTGCACAACTCTGGACTTGTGAACAGGCGCGTTGTCATGATGCAGGGTGACGCCTTCTTCAAGCGAAGCGGGTCTTTTTTCCTGATCGCAGGTCTCAGCTTGTCTTTGAGGACCACACTGTAATAGTCACCATTGACAGCTACGCCAGGTGTGGCTAGCCAGCTCAGTATGATGCCACTCGTGTCGAAAACCCCCCCACCCTAATGTGCATCACCTTTCTCTCCCTGTGTTTTCTGTGTGCACTTCATCGTTCATGTCAGACCTCCCACCTTCAACCTCCCTGATCCATTTCCTTACAGTCTGATTTGATGGGGCATTATTTCCTATTACTTTGTATAGATCACCATGGGCTTCGGCTGCAGACTTGCCGAGAAGAGTTGAAAATTTGATCACAACTCTGACATCATAGCATGAGACGGTTGCACCAATGTTTTGTTTAGAAATTTTCCTCAAATTTGCCTTGGACAACGTGCACAAGAACACCACACTTGACACGTCACCAATGCACTTGCAATTTGGTGTTGATATTTCTTAGACATGATGTCATGACTTCACAACATTAAGTGGCTGTTGGTTGCTTACTTTTGATTTTATGGAGGAGGGAAACTTTATTCTGAGACAGACCTCGTATAATGAAATGGAGGGTTAACATTACACGTTTATTTATTGATGATTTTATTTTAACATAGAAGTAGGTGGTGGTGGTTTCTCCGGCGTGGTTTGTTTCATATTCCTTAACAGACACTCATCGTTGTCATCTCGCCTCTTTCTTTGCTTTGTGTGTTTCTCTCTAGTAACACTTTTAATCTTAGGCAGGCACTTATGTTTTGACCTATTTGTGTTGCATGTGTCGTAAAAGTTCACTAAAACTAAAACTAGACTCTTTCTTTATATCCGTTCGTCTTCTTGCCACATAAGCAAAATCTCGATCATTCAGAAGGGCGGCTTTTCCATCGGTTTTGCTATAAGTATTGCATGCAGTTTAATTTTTTTTCTTTACTAAACAATGCAATGAAGGGTCAACATTATACAAGTATCTATAGGTGATTTTGTGTGGAAATTGACATAGATAAAAGTGCAAACACAGCACTACTTCATTAGATTTGTTACAATAAAATGGAAGGTCAACATTATAAGTTTTAATATTTTAAGTTTACATTCAGATGGCTTTGTGCGGGTAGTCGATGGGTGCTTTGGTGTGGTTTGCTCATTTCCTATCAAACTCAAACACCTATCGTCCTTTCCTCTCCTCCTTTTTTGTGTTTGTTACTCTCTTGTGACTTGTCTACTCTTCGGCACGTATAAAATGACCTAATTGTGTCTTAAGTGCTGCAAACGCGTATACGGGGTGCCCACTACGGATCGCCCGACTCGGTCGCCTAAAAAACAAACGTGTTTTTTTTTCACTTTCAGACGATCGAGTCGGGCGATCTGCCCGATCCTGCCGTAGTGGGCACCCCCTATTACTAAAAATAAAACCGATGCCTTTGTGTGGAAATCGATGTAGATGAATGTTTTTGTTCACAGTACTACAGGAAAGCCCACCCGTGGATGGAAACGATTGAAGAAGACACTGATGACGTGCTGCGGACGTTTGGAGCTCAGTGAAACCGGCCTGGCAGGATTTCTGGCAGACAAAATGAACTGGCAGTTGAACAAGCGCCTGAGCCACGGACAGACCCGCTGGCCTGCAGTCAGTCAGTGTGAGTGAGGACTCAGAAAGACATTCTGGCAAAGCCTGGACTAAAGATCCACTGACCCGTTTGGTGATAGATAGCTAACGTTTTCAAGGATGTTGACAAAGTGTTAGAATCGAATTCTGTACATACAAAGATCGGTGTGAATTTTGTTCTTGCTGTTGTGTGTTTTGTATATTTATATTATGCCAAGGGGGAAAGTGAGGTGGCGGAAGGAGTGGGGTTGGGGTGGTTGGCCATTTTTTCCCCCTTGGACTCAATTTTTGGGAGGGACATTTTGTCTCTTGAATTGTCGCTGCTCAGAAATATTGGTGTCTAAACTCATGATTTCGTGATTTTAAATATTTTTGAGGGCAGATACAAAAGGAGAGCATGCATGATGTGATATTACTGGTCTCCGTTCTGGGGTCTTCACTTCTTTCACGGAGTAAAATTCCATCTTTTTATTCTGTAGTTTAACTTTGATATTCACGGGGATAGAGTCTTTTATTTAATTCATTTTTCTAAAAGGGGTGGGGGTGGGGGGGGGGGTGATTTGATGTTGATATCCCTGTAATTTTTCCTGATCAACATCTTTGATATAGATTTTTATACTAGTCTCTTGTCACTCTTCTTTCTCAGTATTCCTCGATTCTTTCAGTGAACACTGAGGCCCTTTCGTCTTTTTTATTTTTTACCTTTTTTTTTTATTAAGGTGCATTTTAGATGACTGTTTCTCAGGTTTTGTGAAAAGAATTAATCAAAACTTTAGAATGGAATACTATTGCAGTTTTATTTTTACCACAAGTTCTTTTTTTCCAAGAGTATTAGATGAAGAAGGGAGACCAATATCCCCCTTGAGTGACTTATCTAAGAGAGCAATGTACTGTGCAGACTAAGACTCATTGCCTACAAGGAAAAGCCAAAATCTCTGATGGAATTTAATATATGTATTTGAGGCGTAGCATTCTCAAATGGTTATGTGTTTTGTTACAATGCTTCTTATCTATAAACAAAAATTTGTCTATCATTCTATTTTTTTGTCTAGTGTGAGTGAATTTGATTTGTCAGTCTGAAGCCAGTTATAAAAATGTAATCATCTGATATTTTTATTTTGTCAGCTTTATTCCCAAAATGCCTGTGTCATATTTTGAAGTTTTGTGAAAATGAAAGAAAAGAGCAATTTAGAGAAATTTAAAAAAAGAAACAACCCATGATTAGCAGCCTTGATGTTTTTCAATTAAAGACTCGGAAAGAAATAGCAAAACAAAATGGAACTACACTATAAGACGCCCCTTAATGTCCTCATTAAAAAACGGCTTGTCTGGCAATACAAAAAAACAAACAAACAAAAAACCTCAAACAAAACACAAACTAAGCGAAAACAAAAACAAAAACAAACAAAGCAAAAATGATTTGTCAACCATGGAATGACGTTGACAATTTATTAGTTGACTTTCTATTTGACTTACGACAGATGCACGATACTTTCATTCATGGCAATGAATTATATTTGTTTTTATAGCAGACACCAGTTTTGAAACTTTTAGGTTAGTATATCTAAGAATGAGTTCTTGGATGAGATGGTTCCATGAGATATTCTTTATTGAATTAATTTAATAAGATGAAAAGTTTTAGTGTGTTTTTTTATATATTCAATGCTCAAAGTCAAATCATCTTTTTTACTTGCATTATATCTTCTCCTGATGAATGTAAGAAACAGCAGATTTAGGATTTATGATTTAACATTATAGTGTGCAGATTTTCCCTCTATTAGGCAGTGATTCATATAGTTGTCAGGTGTCTCTTCTACTGGAATGTCTACCAACGTCTCAATTATTTTGTTCCCCGTCTTTTGCCATACATTTTGTATAACTTTATAAAATTTGCCATGAGGGAAAGGCGGGAATGTTTCCAGTCAAACAGTACCGCTACGTACTTCATGTAAGTATTTTATCAATACTAACGACACAGACTTATTTCAGAGCTGTCGGAGCTGGGGAAAGCTGGGTGGTTTGGCTTTTTGAAGTACTAGCATTAGTTTGGAAAAAAAATGCTGTTTGTTGAATTATAAGATCTAGATTGAATATTTGTCTTAATTGTATTTTTAAATAATTTGTAGACGTTGTTTTCCACTAGGCTATGATGCTGTTCTCAGTGTCATTCTCTAGGCCGTTTCCCATTGTTTCGTGTTTTTTATATATTTTTTTTATATAACTCAAATTGTGTTCAGTACTTGCATGCTCTCACCTTCACAACAGTTCAGACACAGTTGTCTAGCAGTGTTCTGTGAGTGTTGAAGAAGCCAATCTCAGAATCTCACAACAGTTGTCGGACACAGTTGTCTGTCTGTGTACTGTCGGGTATTGGAGAAGCAAGTCTCAGAATCTCACAGCAGTTATCAGACACAGTTGTCTGACTGTGTTCTGTGGGTATTCTGTCCCTACGGTTTTATGCCTAAAAAATAATTCTGAAATTATGCAAACTGAGCCCACATACGTGAAATTATGCGATTCTGTTAATTTTAACAAAGAATGATAAGGGAAAATAATCAGAAAATATGCAAAAGATTATCAAATTTTGCTAAATTATGTGGGATGCATAAAACCACGGGGATGGGGTATTGGAGAAGCAAGCCTCAGAATCTCACAGCTGACAATACTGTCAACACAGCCATGACATATCGCTGGCAACGCTGCTCAATTTATCGTTTTTAGCCCAGAAACCAAATTTTTTTTCAGCCAGGCGAAAAAAACCCAAACAATTGGACCTACACTATGTATTGTTTCTTGATCCCCCCCCCCTCCAAATTTTGGATCTGATTTCGACAAAATATTATTTCTCGAGCTCAAACACCCTGTACAGCACAATTTTGGGTTGAGTACATCTGGAAAGCTGGCTGACATTATTACAATACAAAGGACCAAAATACAGGGAAAGAAAGAAAGAAATTAGACTGCAAAAATTAAAGTCTGAGGTTCTTGGAAATGGAAAAGCTGTGGGTAATTCTTTCATTCCCAAAACAGTTCTGGCTGGGTATAGTTATGTTAATTGAGTGTACTCATGTCTTTTGTACTCAATTGTTAGATAGTAAAATGTATTGTTGATGAGGTTTCTGCACAGTTTAATTTATATGATATTGAAATGGGAAATTTTTGTGTAAGATATCTGCACCTTATATCTGTTGTATTTAATGCAAAATTGATTATTTGTGAGTTTTATTTTGAATATTGTTACCTATAGGGAACAAAATGATTGGTGTTTTTGAGAGCTCTCTACAAGCTCTATAAGCTGTCCAAATCAGAGAATCTCGGTTCAACGAGTTCCTTTTTCAAAATAAATTTTGTCTTAGAGAAGTGGATTTTTTGCGCTCCCCCCCCCCCCCCCCCACATACACACACTCCCCAACCACCCCAATAATTTATTATCCTGAATGATAAGATAATGATAACATTTTTGTTTGATAATGGATCACCGACGACGACAATACTCTTCTCTCCCTCAGTTCATGGTGCTGTCCATGCTATGTGTCTTGCCGGATCTGTCTTTATCGTTGTTTGTCGTGACATTGTCGGGCTGTTTGCCTGGCAGCAGGTGTCTGTGGTGTAGCGATTAGGTGCTTAGTCTTCGCACGCAAGAGACCTGAGTTTGTTTCTCGAGTAGAGAGGATTTTTAAGTGGCTTAAAGGCGTGGGGGGGGGGGGGTATTTTCATGTTCTTATGCACAGTAGAATTGTAAGTGGGCTGATTTAACATCTTTCTCATACTGTGGCGGAACAACATAGGGGGAACTGCCACCTTTTCTTTCCTCATCTTTATTATCGTTATTTTCCCTCTTCTTCTTTTGTATGCTTGTCACTCTCTTGTGAACTGCTATTTCCGGGGTGCCTTGATAGTCGAAGTAGACTTTGTACTGTTGAGGCTAGAGAGGTGAGCAGAATAAGCCTGACTGATTCCTCGTTAGGACTTCTCTGTTGACATCCACCCCTTGGCGCTCATATGACCTTATTCAGTTTCGAGCGCCGTAAAACCTTACTAAAACAAAGCTCTAGAAAAGGAGTCAATCGGTCTCTCAGCCTGAGTTACTCCTGACAGGCAGGGTCGAAGCCTGCCTCCTAAATTATCTGAATTGTTTTGACTTAAGCTTAAAAACAACTCCATTAAAAAAAACCGTTCTGCCCTGAGGCAGAAAGTGTGTGGTCAGTTCCGGAGTGGGGCGAAGATATTTTTGAGTATCTCCGTCTTCTGTTTGGATGTCTGGTGTGTATTCCATACAGCTCAGACTGGCACTAATAAATAAAGTTGATGCATCATGCCCCCTTATTTAACAGTCTAAATTGTATTATTTTGCGGTGTAATCAATCTATCAACAATCAGTTTGTTGTTATAAAGTTTTAATTGTACTCAACGCTATGTGTGCCCCTTATTATATTATTGTTGTTTGCTGTGTGGACTTTGGAATGCGAGTCTCTGAGGGTGCATTCAACTTTGGTTGAGTACTTTTAATTCATCACACAACAAAATAAGAACATGATCGTTGTCCGAATATCATGGATAAGAATCTCATGTACGGTAAACAGAAATTTATCTTAGTATTCTTAGGGCTCTACGGGGGCCGCCATTACCTGCCCATGGGTATCCCCACGTGACATTATTACATAAGGTTTTGATGTAGATGTAGATGTTAAATTTCTAGAAAATGCAAAAACTTCATCCGTTTTTCTTTTTCTTTTTCATTTCTTTTTCTTTTTTTTTTTTTTTTTCTTTTTTTTAAAAAGTCCTGTATAGTCTATTTTGTACTCTTAAATATAGGTCTAATACAATTTGCGTGTTCACGTTAAAAAAAAGGTTAATGTTGTTGTTGAAATATATATCATACTTGGTTTGTAACATTCCCGTGTGGGGAAAGATCTGAAGACCAATGACAAATCATGTCTTTCTCTTTGACTGTGATTGTGTTGTTGAACGTTTGTTAAATAAGCTAGCAATGTTACACTTAGTTATTTCGCTTTTTTTTCAATGGATTTTTTAAAATCCCGGAGAGATCATATTAATAGCTTGTGGCTGATACCTGGAAGAGGACTTTCAGTTCAGCTGTTTTGTATTTTCTTAGATATAGATTATATGTAGGTATTATTTTCTATCATTTTCTGCATGGGTATTCCTATGATCTATGTTGAGGAGACACTGGTTGTTTTTTATACTGAAAAAATGCTTAAGTAACACTTTTCAGAGGAACCCAGAAGGCAGTGTGTGTGGTAAAGTTGTTTTTGGACTTGACCGTACGCAGAAGGTTAAGGTTTCAGCCTGAATGGTATACAGTAGTCTTTAGTATTTTGCTCTCAGCGGGATGCCTTTTTTGCGTTTTTTGTTGTTGTTGTTGCTGTTTCTTTCTTGATTTACTTATTTAAAAAAATATTTTTTAGGGGGGGGGGGGGGAGGAGGGAGTGAGGTGTGAGGTGGTCTCGGCCATTTTTTAATTGACACATTTTTTCTAATACAGCGTACGTGTTTTACTGAAACATTGCTATTTAGTTTAGAGAAATCATGTGAAGATGCACCTGCTTTGTTTCGCCTCTCTGGTCTTGCAGTCTGGGTCAGAAATGCTGTGGCACAGGGAAAACTCATGACGTCACAAAATGTGCTGAGATGTCACTTGGCATCACGGAGCGTGACATTTCCAAACCAAAAAGCAAAATAAAAAAAAAATTTAAAAACAAGTATTATATCACTTTCTTTCGAAAACAATAGTGTCAACTTGAGCAAATCAAATCATTTGTCTGTCATTGAATCACTTGCGAGGATACGCCTCTTTAAAGTCAGAGGTGCCCATTTTCCGGATGAAAATCATCATGAAACAGATTTCAGAATTGTACGGTAAATACCATGTTTATTTTCAACCTCAAATGGACGCGCGTGTGACGCACAGAAAAAGGCTGTCTCTCCCCCCCCTTCCCCTTGCGCTACCTAACCATTTCTGTGTTGTCGATGTGTTTCTCTTCGCCCTGACAAACTCTGAGAAGAATAAGATGTTTAATGATTAAGTTTTTCCCTCTTATAAAGAACACGATTTCTTAGTTTACAAGAGCTTCGCTGTTGCACGCAGAAGACGTTAGTTTGATCACTTTGTGGAAAGACTTTTTTTAAAAATCGAGTACTTCCATTTCTTTGTTAGAACGTTGCATACTGCATACCCCTCAGTCCAGGTGGCGCCTTACCTATAGGCAGGGTCGAACCATCCCGCCTCCTAAATGACCTAAATAGTGTCGATAGGGGAGTAAAACGCCTACAGTTACAACAACCTGGTATACGGGTTTCTTGAAATAAGCTTGTCCCGGAATCTCACTCCACGTGTAC